GGTCTTGAGCAGGGGCAGGGGTGGGGTCCCCCTGTAGGAAGCCCGGGTCAGGCAGAGCCACAGCTGCCATGTGGGTGGCCCGGGGACCGTGGGGAACAGGAAGCTGTGCTGCCAACTGAGAGGCCCAGGAGCTGAGGATGGGCCTGGAGGGGAGGGGTCTGGGGGCGGGAGAGGGACAGGACTGGGAAGCAGTCAGGTGGCCTCCCAGGTGCGCTGTCATGGGCTCAGGCAGCCCAGCGGCAGGTGGGCTTTTCCTCAGCTCTGTGCAGCTGCCCAGGGCTGGGGTGGAGGCGGTGGGGGGTTGAGGGAAGGCAGGAGGGCCGAGGGGTGCAAGGGAAGGSGGGGTACGCTGCGGGGCAGGAGGGAAGTGAGGCCCCGGGCATGAGGGACAGGGGCAGCCATGGTGGGMAGCGCAGTCTCCCTGAGTGGTTCGGTTGTGGCCCTGGAGGAGGCGGGCAGGAGGCAGTGGTCAGCAGTGGGAGGGGGAAGTTCCAGCAGAGGTGTGGCAGGGAGAGTTTGGTCCTAACCAGGTCTTGGGAAGACCATCCAGTGAAGAGCGGAGGCTGTGACCTTCAAAAGAAGAGGTCAGAGGACTGAGGGCAGGGCAGGGAGGGTGGTCTGTGTGGCACTGGACCTAGAGTCACAGCGGGAGTGACGGATGTCAGGAGCCAGGTCATCCAGTACCTGGTAYAGTGCTGCTGTGGAGTGTGACGGGCTGTGGGCTGACGAACACACAGGGCCCCTGGAGTGGGACACCCAGTGGGCACATGGTGAGCGAGAGCTCAGGGACCTTTGTTGGTGTTGAGTAACCACAACATGGTTACCAGGGTCTGATCACAGCACTTCAAATCAGGAATGTGCCAGACATGGGTGGTCTAYGTGCCCCTTGTTCTAGGAGGCTCTGTGGAGCCTGTCGGTTGCCCTTTTCCTGCTGGATCCCACCCCCTCACCTTTGTCCCTGCATTGGTGAGCGGCCCAGCCAGGCCTGCAGAGAGCAGCAAAGGGGGACAGCTCAACAGACAGGGCTCAGGCCAAGCCCTAAAGAGAGTGGACAAGGAGACAAGGCCTGGCCCCTCCCAGGGTCAAGGGGGCCCCTGAGAGCCGGCTGTGATGTCCAGCTCTCCCCCAGCCCCTCGTGCCTGTACCAGCTGTAGGAACGGGGTGAGCTGGGCCAGCTGGGTGGGCTGGGGCCCACGTCCCCAGTGCTGAGGGCCCCCATGGCAGCCCCAGCATCTCAGGGTTGAGGCCTCATGCTCCGAGCTCAGAGCTGCTGGGGGTGGGGCTGTGAGGGGCACAGGGTCCTTTACTCAAGTTCCAGTCTAGGGTGGGCATCAGAGCGGATGTGGCTGCCTTTGCCACCCATCATGTGCCACAGCAGAAGCAYGAGCTCAAACGCTGCCTCTCCCACTTGCTGTGTGGCTGCGGCCGGCGGCTGGCCTCTCGAGCCTCGGTTCCTCACCTGTTTCAGGCATCACCCTTGGGAGACATTTGTGGAATGAATGCGTTGGTGACAGCACAGTGGGATGCACACTTCGTGTGTTATGAACTAACTGCTGCTCTCCTCTCCACCTGCCACTCACTCCCCGTCACAGAGGCTCTGGAAGGCGCCGCTGTCTGTGCAGAGCCAGGCCCTCCTGACTGCCCGGGCACRTGCACTAAGGAGTTCTCGCATCCATAATTCAGTTGGTCTTTGTGGCCTGCCTACTGTGTGCTGGGCAGGGATAAGAGAGGGTTTCCAGTGGCGTAGTCAGAGGAGGGARTAACCCCACGAGGCGTCACAAGCCCTTCTTTGCATTTTTGTCATCATTTTGGACAGCTCCAGCTCCTTTCTTGGGAGTCTRGCTGTCCCCAGAGGCTGGCCAGGTGGATGGGTGGCTGGAATGTCTTTCTGGAAAGCAAGGCCAGTATTCACTAAGCCTCCAACAGGGCAGGACCCTGCACACAGTAGGTACTTGGTATGGCATGTGGGCTGCCTAGGAAATTGGAAATTGCCAGAAGCCGGCTTCCTTGGCTGGTCCAGCCCCTCCTCCCTCACCCAGCATCCTTCGAATCTGGTTCTCCCTGAAGCAGTTTTACCTTGTTTGGGACCTGGGAATTCCAACCAGGCCCCAGTGTCTCATTATTGCCTGTCACAGGACAGTGTGTGGCCTGCCATCTCTCCTTGGGACTCTGGCTGGTCTAAGATTGGAAACCTGGGGACAGTGTCTTCATCACCCCACACCATGGGAGTCTGGGTCCACTGGTTATTCTGGGTCCACTGGTTCTGGCTAGAGGTGGGGTGGCCCTAGGGCCRGGCCAGGCCAGGGGAGCCCCGGGGGCCAAGGATTACGTGAGGCCCCCTTGGCAAGGGCCCGTTGGCYGTGCTCCAGGGAGAAAAGGTAATGAGGAGCAACTCCCACTTAACCGTSGGTATAAATCCCACAATCAGGAAAATTGCTTCAATTGCTAAAAAACGCTGGTGGGAAAGTCCATTTGTTTTTCATTTTTCTTGTGCACTTGCCCCCTGYGCATGAATCACTGTCGGTTTGTAGATTGAATTTATACCCCTTTATCTTTCATGTCTCTGGGCTCTGGTGTCGACTGGGCTTGGCTATGAAAGCCCCCTCTGCTTTTAGAGGTGGGAGAGGCGTGGTCCCATGGTGGGAGAAGCCTCTGGAGGGCTCCACTCTCTTCTGGGGTCTCTCCTCTGCCCAGGCCTCCACGTGAGGATTTGTTTGGGGGAAAGTCTAGATCTTCTCTGGAGCCACTCCCCRCCCCATCTTTTCAGCAAAGGGTTTGGACACACCCTGCAGATGTGGGTGGCTTCTCAGGAGGGTGCCCAGCAGACCTGGTGGAGTTTCTGTTCCTTGTAACTCACGCCTGCTTTGGGGATGGACCCAGATGAGATAGGAAGGCACAGGCTTTTGGAAACACTCTCCAGTAGCGCATAGGTAGGCTTCCTTTCTCTCTGTTCCCCAGACACGCAGATGGCCTGCTGCTTCCCTGTGACCCAGATGGCACGGTTACCCAGCACTGCGGGGCRGGCCTGTTTCTCCCCTGTGCTCTGGGAGGGGCAGGACCCTCCTGAGCCGGCCATCCACCACCATCTCCTTTCTCCACACGCATCTTCTATTTCTTTCTTTTCCTTTTTATTTTTTTCCTGGGGCGGGGGTTGGTACTAGGAATTGAGCCTGGGAGTGTTTTACCTCCGTGCTGCATCTCAAGTCCTTTGTATTTATTTTGAGACRGGGTTTCACTAAGTTGCTCAGGGCTTTGCTAAATTGCTGAGGAGGGTCTCAGACACTTGCTACCCTCCTGCCTTAGCCTCTCGAGTTGCTGGGATTATAGGAAGTGCCACCACACCCACCTCCATGTACATCCTCTAAAGACAGGGGTCTTTCTTCAGTGATTTCATTATTCAACAAATAAGAACTGACTTTTTTGGGTCCTGAATCCCTTTGAAATTCTGACACACACCTGGACGGCCTCCTGAGGCAGGATTCTGAGCAACTGGGGAAGAGTGGTTCATGAAGCCTATACTGAATCTCAGGTGGAGCACTTGGGCTCTGAGAGGCCTCTTCCATACATCCSCCACCAAGTTAAGAGACGTCCTAGGGATTCAGAAGCCTGGGTGTCCCAAGCCATGTTGCAGACACACCCTAACACCCTTCTGTACCAGTCTCAGAAGAGCAGTCTTCCATTCTGGCTCCTGGGGAGTTCACCATGCAGACATGGAGACCCCTCCCTTCCCTCCAGGATGCCGTGTCCGTGGGGGGTGGTTCAAGGCTGCAGCTGGACATGCCTGTTGCAGGCCCCTGCCCCCGCCCCCCGCCAGCAGGTATCATTGCTGCTTAAGAGACCCATCATTCTGCATTAATCTGGGATTCATCATGATAGCCATGACCATAATTAATTTATTTGGTATTAATGTGGATGAAATATGTACTGTCCTTTCAGGGGAAATCAGGCTGCCTATAAGCATTAGTTAAAAGGACCATTAAAATCAAACCTTCCCCAGATCCATTAGGCGAAGTCTTTCATCCTGAAGAAGATAAAGTTCTGCCGTGTGAAGTGTCATGAATAATTAGGTTGATTGCTGTTTTAAACTCTGCCCCTGCTTCCCGAGCCCCGCCGCCTCCCTCCTCCAGCAGGGGAGGCTCACCTGCTGCAAGKCACCCCTTCCTTGCCCACCACGGCGCTGGCCCCGTTTCCCTCTTGCCTCTGTGACCCTGGTGTGGCTTTGTGGATCTCTGTGGCCAGCATGGGGAAAGAGGCTTCCAGCACCCCGCTGGATGCTTCTGTGAATTGTCTACTTCTCTTCCCTTCCTAGTCCCAGCACAGGGTGGCAGTGGATGACTTTCTTTTGCCTTGATGTAGGTCCAGAAAGGGAGAGACCCAGGAGAGGCCTTTGGCAGYGTTTTCCAAACATATCTGCAGACCTCTGGCCCTGGGATGTTGCAGGGTCCTAAAGCGTGCCTCGCTAGGCCTGCCTTGGACCACGGCAGGGAGGAGATGGGCCGTCCTGGTCCTGAGGGAGGGGAGGGAGAGATGGGGAGCCTGCTCTGCTGACAAGGCGTGTTTTCTCAGAGTGCCAGTGTGGACGTGGGCCTGTGCTGTTGCCTGGCCTTTTGGGGCCTCTCGCTCTGTGGGCTTCACATGTGGTTTCCTGTTAGACCACATCATAAAGACTAGGAAGCCTGGAGGGGAAGGTACAGCCACCCAGGAACGGCCCTAGAAACCCCACCCCCTGCCCCCATGATGGATAGGTGTCAATCAGGCAACGTGGAGCCCAGGGATGTTGGCCTCAGGAGAGACATTAGTGACTAGCTCTGGTCCAACCCCTTCATTGGTGGTGCAAGAGCCCAGCYTGAAGCGATGAAGCTAGTTGGAGGCTCAGAGGACAAGGTCTGGGTGTCCCTGGGGGCCCAGGGACACTGGAGTGGTGGGCTAGGAGAGGGCTGGGAGAGGGCATACCCCACGGCATGCCTCTTCCCCCTGATCCTTTTCTGCTGCCCTGACAGGCGCTTTGGCACGAAATGCACGGCCTGCCAGCAGGGCATCCCCCCGACCCAGGTGGTCCGCAAGGCCCAGGACTTTGTCTACCACCTGCACTGCTTCGCCTGTATCATCTGCAGCCGGCAGCTGGCCACGGGGGACGAGTTCTACCTCATGGAGGATGGGCGGCTGGTGTGCAAGGAGGACTACGAGACGGCCAAGCAGAACGGTAAGTGTCCCTGCCCTGTGCACTGTCACCCTCCAGGCCTCCGCCAGGCCGTTCCCTCTGCCAGTGGTGTCCTCCTCCCTGAGCCCTGCCTGCCCGGCCTCTGGGCCCCTTCAATACTGGGCCTCCTCCTCCAGAGCCCCAGGAGCTAATTCTGGTCCCCTTAACCTGCTGCACTCGCTGGCTTTGTGGAAGCATGAATCAGGCTGTGGCTGTGGAGATGTGCTGTTGCCCTCCTCCACGGCGGGCTCCAGCAGCCAGGGACCTCTGGTCATCCTCTTGGTGGCCTCTTTGCCTGGGTGRTCTTGGAGCTTGGTCTGCGGTGGATACTGGGGTTCTCCTGAGTGTTGACTTTGGGGTGCACTCACCTCTGCACTCCTGTGCCTCAAAGGCTGCAGACAGYGGGACCAGCACCGGCCTGTCCCCTCTGAGGGCTGGCTTGCGTTGCAGGTGTTTCCTGTCTTGGGAAGGGACTGAGGGCTGCTGCCCCTGCTGTTTCTGAAGGCCTGATATTGGAGCAAGTGCCTGGGCATTGGGCTGAGTGACRCAACTGGGACTCAACAACATAACTGACCCCTGCCCTTGCCTCAGGGCCATTGCCCGGCCGGTGGGGCGGAGGCTGAGATCAGCAGGGAACATGCCTTACCTCTGCCCAGGCTGCTCTTGCCCTCCCTGGCCTGTTCTTGGGAAGCCTAAGGGCTCTCCAGCTGCTGGACAGGGCTCAGACTCCCTCCTTCTTGCAGCCCCACCCCTGGCTTCTCATTCCAAGCTGCACCCACGGGGTGGTGGTGTCTGACTCCAGATCTGAATTTGGGATTTGGTCACACCCAACCTAGGRATCTCAGATGCACAAACTCATGGAACATCAAGGCCTTTTGCCTTTACCTAGAATTTTTATCAATTTAGRGTTCCACAGTGGAAAGCAGTCCTATTGATAGGTCTGCACTTGATGGAAATAAATAAATAAAGCAAAAACTGTTTCATGTATCTCCTTCCAGATCTTTCCTGGGCTCATATGTTATCTGGATCTGATCAATACATGGAGAAATTAGGTTTTTGATTAATAAATGCAGTATGAAATAGGTTTTGTGGCAGCGAGGACACAGAGGAACTCACAGGGGCCCTTGGGTGAACTAGCTGGGCCAAACTTGGCTTTGGTGGGAGGAAGGGAGGGGCAGGGATGCCCATGGCAGAGGTTTCCTGTCTCTCTGGGGATCCTCTCTGCCATGACCCTCACACCTCTGGCTTTGCCAGGTGGACAGAGGACTTTGATCTGCTTCCTCTAGAGACCCAGGGCCTCTGAAGACTGGTCTCTGCTCTGGTTCCTTAAACCCCACGCTGTTGCTTTGGGGTTCATTAGGATGTCACGAGAGAGTGGGCGGCTGGTCAGGAATAGGCCACCGATTCAGATGGGCTCGAAGACACCGAGACACCTTTGGAACCCTGATGCCCATCACCACAGATCATAAAAGCACCACCACCCTCGGTTCTCACGTCAGGGACTTGCTTCCTTAGACCCTGAGTCCTCTCGGCCGGCATCTCATGGTGCYGAGATGGTTCGAGAGAAGAGGGAGACAAACACAGACTGGTCGTAATCTAGCTGGGGAGGCAAGAAAGACGTGTGGGGCTTGTGATTTTATGGGAGAATATTTGCTCTGTGGGGCATTCCTCTGCAGGACAATGGCTTTGGCATCAGAGGCGGGGTGGGCGTCCCCAAGAAGTGGGAGCTCCTCTGGGACGGTGTGTAGCTGACTGAGTCTTGGCTTCTCAGCTACATGTGGGGCTGGACAGAAGCTGCCTCTGTGGGCTGTCTCCCGAGGTTTAAGCAGGAAGAGGCTGTGAACTGGGGTGTTAAATAAGAGTGAGACTCGTGTGGGAGAGACATGCAGACAGGTAGGTGTGGCATGTTTTAGGCAGCTGAAGGCACCTCTGCCCTGTTCCCCAGGTGTCCTCTGGTGGTCAGGGAGGCGGAGCCGCTCCATCCTGGGATAGCCGGGTGGTCCTTGGTGCAGCAGAGGACATTTGTCTGCCTTTGAATATGTCGTGATTTCTCCTTATCTTCCTAAGTCTTCTTTTAGGCTTATAATTTCCTCCCTTGAGCTAAACAAAGGATCTAACATATCAGCTATTTGCACCTTAGTATGAATGATTTTGTTCATTTGTTCCATCTCCTTGGATATCTGCATTTTCAAAATAATGAGGGCGCATTTTATATCAGGGATAAGTTCTAGGAGACCCTGCATAATTCAACGCTAACGTACATGGAGACTAATTTTCCCCTAGGAATTAATGCAACCCGGGGGGGAGGGGCCCCTGCCAGCATACAGATCCGCAGCCTGTGAAGGAGATCTCCGCCTTCATGTTACTTTTTATTTTCTCAGCATTACCTTTAGTACCGTGCCCCAGGCTCTCTCCTAAATTAACAGCCGGGGGTATCGTGGTGTCCCTTGGCCTTCCTCATAGCATTTTATCACATTTAACTTCCGCACCAAAGTTATTGATTTTCGGGTACATTTTTCAGCACGAGCACTGCTGCCACTACTTAATGAATACTTGGATGACATTGTTATAGGATATAAAAAAGATTTTAAATTATAATAACAGTGAATGTTAAAATAACAGCATAATAGTCCCCGTAATCACAAGAAGAAAGCCCTGAACACACAGCAATGGTGCGCCACCAAAGGCCACCAACGCGGGTGACAGGTAAACCCCAGGGGCGCTGCTGTCTGCTATGGTGAAATGATTTCTAATTCACTAGGAAAGACTGTTTTGAAATTAAGTGATTCCCCCCCGACTTAAACTCTTTTTTCTTTGTTTGAGACGGGCTCTCACTGTGTTGCCCAGGCTGATCTTGAACTCCTAGGCCCATGCTATCCTCCCACTCAGCCCTCAGTAGCTGGGACTATATCTAGTCCTATATAGAGGCATATGCCACCATCCCGGCTCACATAGTTTTCATAGTTTTATTATTTAAAAGTCTATCCATGAAGACTCTATACATATTTTAATAGTACACTATTTCATATCTGCATAATTCAAGTTTGCATCAAACAACGTCATGCCGAACTCCAGAATTTCACAAACTGTGGAGGTTGTCTGTGTTGGCCTTACTCTCTAAACATGGGGCCCTGTCCTGCACCCCTTCTTTGGGTCCTGGACTCCAGGGAGGGAGATGGGTGAGAGTGGTTCTGGATGGTTCTGGGATGACAGTGGCTTATGTTGGGAAACAGCCCAAGGAGGAGAGAAGACGCTGGGCCTCTACCCTGTGCTGTGTGTATTGCGGCCCCAGCTGCGCCACTGCTTACCCCCTAGAACGCATGCTCCCCAAGGGCAGGTGTTGCTCCCCAAGGGCAGGTGTTGCTCCCCAGTCTTTCGACGGTGAGGCTGCTTGCCAAGTCAGTTGCCCAGGGCCAAGAAGGCCACACCTAGGTCTTCTACTTGGAGAACCTTTTAGAATTGTGGGGACTGACTGCCTACAAAGCTTGCAGTGAACCAGGCACACAGAAGGTGCTTCATAAGTGGTGCCTATTATTGTTGTTCCTAAGAGGTTTTTCTTGAATGTTCTTAAAGGAGAAGAGGCAGGGAAGAGGACAGGAATGTAGCAGAGGCTCTGAAGTATACATGTGAGGGGCACAGACCACCAGGAGCCTGCAGTGGCCTTTATTCTTAGTGTCCTCCAGGGCCACTGTGCAGAGGGGGAGAGCTGTGCCCACGTCCCAGGTGAGGCAGCAAGCTGTTTGCACGACTGTGTGGTACTGAGCACACCCGCTGCCTCTCTGTGCCTGACTGGGAATGGAACAAACCAGCCTTTAGCTAACAGAGACTCGAGGTTCTTCCATTCAAAACCMATCAAGCACTCTGTGTTGACCAGTGCGTTACCTGGAACACTCCCGAACTCAGTGCTTTTCAAAAAATATTGACTAAGATCCACTGTGAGAAGCTCACTTCACATTTCAACTCAGGGCGCACATTCAAACAGGGAAAGTGAACAAGTTTCATGAAACACTGCTCTGTCTGTTCATCCTGTTTCCTCTTTTAGTTTTGATTGACTAGATGGACTTTATAAGCCACCAGTGGGTTCTGACCCGTAGATCATAAACACTGCTTGGGACGGCGAGTGAGGTGCAGGCTGTCCCCAGTTGGGAGCCCAGGGAGGCCACGGCAGAGGCCATGAGGTGGGACCAGGGGAGATGGAGGCTCTGGAGGGGAGCCAGAGGCCAGGGACATGGGGGCAGTGCACCTCACTTTCAGTGCTGTGGAGGCTGCAGGGGTGGGGACCACGCCACGGTGACGCCCTCTTCCCCAGCCCTACACAGAGCAAGTGTTCTACTACCTGGGGGGAAGGAAGGAGGAGGCCCAGCTGCTTCCGACCTGCTGATCCAGTAAGGGGTGGTTTTCATTGCAGATGACTCGGAGGCTGGAGCTAAGCGGCCGCGGACCACCATCACAGCCAAGCAGCTGGAGACGCTAAAGAATGCCTACAAGAACTCCCCGAAACCCGCGCGCCACGTGAGGGAGCAGCTGTCCTCGGAGACAGGCCTGGACATGAGGGTGGTTCAGGTTAGAGGCCAGCCCTCCTTTGCTCTCTGGGGATCTGGGCCTCTGGCAGGGAGGGACAGAGTGTGGTGTCCAGAGCCAGGAACTGGTGTGACATCACCCATCCCCATGGGCAGTTGGGCTCAGGGCAGTGACCCCGTGTCCCTGGGGGTGTCAGCCAGAATCTCAGGCAGAGTTCAGAGGCCCAGGCTGGAGAGAGCAGGGGCGGGAGAATAGGTTTTAGTCTGTCTCCAGCCGCCTGCGTTTGGGTCCTGGAGGCTTTGGGCTGATGGCGCACTCCCCCTGTGTCCCTTGTGCTTTGTGGCAGGTTTGGTTTCAGAACAGGAGGGCCAAGGAGAAACGCTTGAAGAAGGACGCAGGGCGGCATCGCTGGGGACAGTTCTATAAGAGCGTCAAGAGGAGCCGGGGAGGCAGCAAGCAGGAGAAGGAGAGCTCGGCAGAGGACTGTGGGGTTAGTGACAGTGAGCTGAGCTTCCGAGGTGAGCAGGGCTGGGGGGCGAGGCCGAGGTCCTAGGGAAGTTCCCTGGGGAACAGTAGGCCCTGGCTCACAGGCGGCTCTTCCTTCAGGCCTTGGCCACTCCCTCCCAAGGAAGGCCTCAGTAAAGGGTGGGGAAGTTGCTAGGGCCCTTCAGGGCGGGACAGGGAATAGAAAAGGAGAGGAACAGGTCCGTGGGGTGCAGCCAGGCCCTACTCATGGCCCTGAGGTCCCCCTCATTTCCTGCTGACTGGGGTGCCCTCACCAGACCACCCAGCCGTGAACAGGGGGCTGCATCTCAGGGCTTGCCCCAGCTCTGTTCCTGCACCTCTCCCTTTTGTGGGGACACTGGCCACCTTCTATGGTCCCCTAAAGGAACCCCGTCCTCCTATCCTGGTGACAGGAAGCACGCTCAACAGGCCTCTTCCTGGAGATCACTGCTGTGAGTGCATGTGAGCGGGGCACTTGCTTCCTCCCGACCCGGCACACGAGCTTCGCAGCATGCGCTCTGTTCAGATTGGGGCATCAGCAAAATTGCAAATTACTGCACACAGTGGATCCCCAGGTTGTTCACAAATAACCCTACCTGCTCTCAGTTACCGAGTCTGCAAATGGGGAAGGACTTCTGTTGGGGACGGCAAGGACACTGATCAGAAGCCCGGCTTGCAGGGTGGCTTTATTAGAGTCACTCATTTTTCATGAGCTGCTGTCTTCCCATCTATAAATGGGGAGTGCCCCCGCATGTCATCTCAGTCACTGGGCTCAGTGAACACACCAGCTGTCCACGTGCCCGGGGGAAAGCTAAGCACTTGTACTCAGGGAGGGTGTGACTGTCCCTACAGGAGCCAGTGGCTCCCATAGCCAAAAGGGCCAAATCATGGCCATTTTAGAGTGGAGCTGAGCCTTCTGCATCCTGCTCCCTTTGAAGGACATCAGCCTTCCCTTGCCCCTGGCTTTTACATTTTCACGGGTGGCATGGGAGGTCTCTGAGGGATGGGTTTTGAATAGCCTCCTACAGGAACTGATGTGTAGCCCAGGTGGAAAAGTGGAAGAAGTTTGTGGGACAGAGGGTGGAATAGTGGCCTAGAGGAGCACAGTGTCTGAGAGGACTGAGGCTGAGCCGGGAGGTCTGCTGAGACCTACAGGTCAGAAGGCCCAGGACCCCATTCTCACCTGTCCACTTGGCAGGATTGGGAAAGTCACCTAATCTCATCGGAGCTGTTGAGATCCATGTCTGAAATCCAGTATTGTTAAAGCATTCCTGTTGGGTGCAGATGGGTCCCAGACTGACATAGCATTCGTCTCTCTGGGCATTTATAAAATCCTTTATTTCTTAAGGCTAAAATTTCTGGCCTCTGTTGGAGAGATGAATTCTTTCATGTGGTAAAGATTGCACTAGATCCCCTTAATGAAATGGCTCAAGAGACGAGAGGGTCCAGTGGCCTTAAATAATTTTTGCCCCCAGTGAAGAGCTGATTGAATAGAGAGAAGCCAAGTCCTTTGATACTGAACCTCCTTTCTGGGTAGACCAGAAGGATTTTGTACACATGTCTAAGCAAGGCCCCCAGCTTAGTTCTATCCTACGGGCCTGCTTGTTTCCCAGCCAATGAAACTAAGCACTCTTCTCATTGAAAGCTTTTAGAGTAAATCTTGGCAGCACATATTTGTCACTTGTGATAACACCACCCACCAACCCTGGGGTGTTCATACTCCTGAGTGTTGCCTGAATATTTTAGTACACCAGATACACGGGGCCAACAAGCTCATCAAATATACGTCCAGCCTTCTGGGACCTAGAATTGGTCTCTGCAGGTGTTTCTTATTTTGCCCCTTGACCTGGGTTGGTCCCTGGAGGTCAGGTGGATTGGCTGCTGTCTGACCCTTGCTTGGCAGAGAGACAGCTGCTGCCTTTGGGTATCTTCCCCAGTCATGGGTTCCTAGGTTGTGAAGAGCAGARACCACTGAAGTCCCGACAGCTGACAATAAATCTCCATTCTTTTGTCCACAGAAGATCAAATTCTCTCAGAACTTGGCCACACCAATAGGATTTATGGCAACGTGGGGGACGTTACAGGTGGACAGTTAATGAATGGGAACTTCTCCATGGACGGGACAGGACAATCCTATCAGGACTTGAGGGATGGGAGTCCCTATGGAATCCCCCAGTCTCCATCCTCCATCTYGTCCCTGCCATCCCACGCTCCCTTGCTCAATGGGCTGGATTACACGGTGGACAGTAATTTGGGTATCATTGCGCATGCAGGGCAGGGCGTGAGCCAGACGCTGAGAGCCATGGCTGGGGGACCCACCTCTGACATCTCCACAGGAAGCAGTGTAGGCTACCCCGACTTTCCAACTAGCCCAGCCTCTTGGCTTGATGAAATGGATCATCCTRCTTTTTAAACTTCTCTCCTCCCCACCCTACCTGTCCTCCTGGTTTGAGAGAATATCTTCAAGGATCAAAGGAGACTTGCCTCTTAAGGATCAAAAGTGCGCCAATGTGAATTTCCATTATTTTCAATGGAAGTGCTCTGCTGGGTCCTAGCAGGCTGAGCGGCCTCCCTAGGGCACGGCTTTCTTGGAGGAGGCAGGAGAGCAGCCTCAGCTGAGATGGCACAGGGGGACAGCCTGGAGCTCTAGGTGCTGGCTTGCTGGCGCTCTCCCTGCCTGCCCTGCTTGGTGGCTTTGGCTCCTCGGTGCTTTGGTAGCACAAGGCGACTGTGACAGGCCACCTGGGCCTCTGGGAACTGTGCTCCAACCGGTGTGTCTCACACAATGCCTCCCCKACCCCGGCTCTCACCAGAGCCGAGATTCCTGAGGTAGAGCATCAAGGCCCTTGAGTATAATGAGATGGTTTCTGGACCTCGCTGATCGAACCCTGATTTTCAAAATAAAATAGCCAGTTACTAAAGGTCAGTGAAAACGTTGATGGCCACAATTTGATATTAAAAACACACCCCTCTCCTTTCCTTTTTGTTGCTGTGAAATTATGACTTCTTTCCTATGTGAAAGTACAAACCAGAGAATAATCACTGGTTTTAGTTTTTAAGAAATCCCATCTAGACCACTGAATCCCTCACAGCAAGAAGTGGTTTTCATTGCAGGTGACTCTGAGGCTGGAGCTGAGTGGCCTGGACCTTCACAAGCTGCCCGATGAGTCCCCTTGGCACAGTGTGCCTTTTTTGATTTGCTCGTATCAGTTACTACCCAAGACAGGCTGCGGGCTACACAGTGATCAAAGCTAAACCATGGAGAGAGCAGAGTGACAATCAGTGACAGCACCTGGAGATGCATTTGGGTTCCAACTGTGCAGTCTGCTAAGCCACATGGGCAGATGCCGGTCTCCTTGTGGGGTGAAATGAAATCTGAAGTCTGCCTTGGGGGCGTTGGTTTAGGTGAGCTTGCAAGTCTGCCCTCCTCCCCCTAAAACATGAAAGCCTTCTCTGCTGTGCTTGCTGACTCCACCGAAGACAGCAATGCTTTTTTGGCTTACCTTGGTTGGGAGGAATACTCTAGGGTCTAAAAGGTTTCAAGTGGTCCTTGGGCTGCATCTCTCTGGGTTGCCTGCTGGACTGGTGCCATGCCCTGGGCTCCTGTCCTGTGCTCAGAAAGCCAGAGCTCCCCAGCTAGTGGCAGTGCAGGGACTTCCTGCTTGCAGGTTTGCAGAACATGTCACTAAGACTGCAGCAAGGTCAAAGCTGCAACTGCCATCCTGTGCACCCCACTTCTGGCCATCAGGATGCTCTCCATGTGTAAGCTGGGAATTTAGCCAGCTGCAATGTATCTCCACTCCCTTGGGAAACTGTGGTTTGCTTCTTCTGGCCTCCCATTCTCTTAAATGAGATGGGCAGGGTAGGAAGAATGCGAAGGCCTTGCCTTTCTTTCACATGAAGTGATGGGGCCAAAGACCCGAAGGGCCCTTCCTTCTGTGACTGGTTGATCACCCTGTGAAGACTGCAGAGATTTAGGCATGCTGCAGGCAGACCAAGGGAAGTGTCTTTTTAAAGCTCTGTTCCAGGGCTGAAGTAAGTTCCATTAAGTATCTTTAAGAGACACAGTCAATGAATTCCTGGAGCAGCCTTCAGGCCACCTATCCTCTGATCAGTTTTGTAGCATACCCTTGTTTTGTTTTTTTTTTTTTTTTGGTGGATTGCAAATGCCCTCATTTTTGCCTGGGGAGTCTGCAAATATGGACTCTTTTCTTGAGGCTCCATGTTTGTGGATAGTGGTATGTTAAGCCCATCCAATTCTATGCTATTGGAAGTCCCCAACAAGGTGGGGTGGGAATGGACACAAAGGCAAGATAACAAGCATGTGAAGGGAGGGAGATCACAACCGTCTGTTTGGAGGCCAACTTCCTGAATACGTGCTTCTCAGCAGGCTGCTCGAAATACACAGGGGAGAGGCTGTGTGGCAAGCCAAGTGGAAAGCTGCCTGGCCAGGTCCCTACTGGGCTTAATATCTCATGGGTTCAGAGGTGAGTATAGTGTGGGACAGCAGGATCTTTAAAGGAGGTCCTGCCCTCTGTATAGCACTATAAAAGATCAATTTAGGTTGAGCTGTTTTATTTTTATAAAGGAGTTAATCATACTCCCAGTTCAATGGTAGAAGTATAGGAGGCTGTCCTCCCACCAAGAGGTCTCTTGAGGGAATCTGGGTAGTTGCAGTGATGTTGGTGGTAGCTCAGAGGTGCTGGAAAAGAGGTCCTGAGAGAGCACTGACCACAAGTCCAAGAGAGCTGTATTTAAGGTGCATTCCCAGAGCCACCTCCCTGGAGAGCAGCAAACATGGGTGCCCATTTAGAAGCACAGTCACAACCAGTCTCAGACTTTAAGTGGCTCTCCATGCAAATTGTGCTGCATGACAATGGGCCAGTGTCACTGGTGAGTATTGTGTTCTGAGACTTAGCTGCCCCCAGAGGCACTCCTCTATTAGACTCCTCACCCGTCTACTACTGGAGTACCTGGTGCCACCTGGCAACTGCTCTCCCCTTGCTAAATGACACAGATGAACTTAAGAAATGACACAAGACCTTCTAGAGGCATTTGCAGTATTTGGGCCTGTCTTTGAGAGCAGTTAACAAAGATGATCCTCTGGGCCCCCCAACAGACTTTAGAGCAGGAAGCTTCTGAACACTGGAGTAAATTGATAACTGACCCCCCAAGTTCCCAGTGGTAATTGGATAAGCAAAATGTGAACTAAGTGGATCCGGAGAAATCTGTATTTGCTGAAAAGTGATTAAATCAGGGAGGCAGTACCAAATCTAAGGGCTCACCATGGGTAAATCCTGTTGTTGGGAAATGGGGTTCTTGGCTCTTCAAGGACTTGCTGTGTAACCCCAGGCAACTCTTTCTGGTCTATATGCTTGCTCTTTCTTGCTTCCCCTGATAGTTATGAGCATAATGTAAGATGAACATCAACTATCATACTGATAATATTGTTCCTGCAAATTAATATAGTGAAAAACAGGGAAAAGGATCAAAATTAAGACCTAAGAGAAGCATTTGGCAGTGTCCTTGAAGGCTTTTTGTGCCACTGTAAAACATAAAATCTAATAAGATAATTGGGGGCCATTAGATCTTCATCATTAAGTTCACTTTGCAAGAAATGTAAGGAATCTGTAGAAAAAAAATCCCCATCTGGAGCTCAAAGCTGCTCATCTGAACCCACTGCCTCCTTGTAGGAGGTGGCTCCAGGCTTCTGATGAGCCAGGGCTGTGTGCTGTGTGACAGTCCACTACCTGCCCCCTGACCACCACACAGCCTTCCCAGCATGCCCCACTGACACCCAGGTTACAGCCATGGAACGATGGCCACACCTCTTCAGCCAGCAGGGCCCAGATAGCCYGAGGAGGCTCATTTTTAAACATTGCACTTTAAAAATTGGAAACCATGAGATGAAGAGAAATTCAATTAAGCGGAAATGAGTTTTGTTTTATTGCCTGCTGCTGAAGGGCTCTGGGCATGCTGAAAGCTAAATAAAAGCACATCACTGGCTCTCTCTTTTCTTGGATTGGTCAGTTGGCCCTTTTGGCAGTAGTTGCTCCAACTGCTCTAACACGGTGACTGGAGCCAAAAAGAGAGAGCTCAGCCAAGTCATCCCATCCACACTCTGCTTGGTAGGACCACACTAAAAGCACAGTTTCATGCTGCTAGCTCTGGTGAGGAGACAGCTGCAGGTTTGGAGGTGCGCCAAGCATTCCTTTGCTTAGGGAGGCAGAGCACAGGTGGACGGAGCAAGGACACCCCCACTTTCACCTGTTGCTCACCTAGAGACAAGGATCACATTGTACTTTCCCACTTGAGGACTGTGTTCAGCCTAAGGAGCAGGTTCAGGGCCACAGAACCCCAGAAGCCGCTCCGAGTGCACATTCAGCCCTCAAAGCCCCAGGTCCCTGAGCTCTGGATTGTTGCCCTCATCCTTCGCAGTGTAAATTTTGTACAGTTAAAAAGAAATGAAGTCTCGTTTCCCGTAAAAAATAAAAAAGAAAAAGAAAAAAAAAGGACCCACCCATCCTTATTTATTGCCATGTGACTCTGGAGAGCAGAAGCTGGTGCGTTTGTCTGTGTATTGCCTCCTGTGTGTTGGCATGAGATGTGTACGGTGAAACTGTGTAAAATAAACATGGAAATTCTTTAGAAGCTGATGTGTCTTGATTTTGATTTGGTTTTCTGGCCGTTTCCCCTCTTGACATAAGTAGAATAGGAAGCTGAGGCACAGGAGGCCCTTTCATCGCCAGAAGGAAACCAGAGAGACAACTCTGAACTCTGGGACTGCTTACAGCCCTGTGAGCGGAACTACTCAATAAAGAACTACTCAATAGAGGGTTGATAGAGGAGGTTCTACGATTACCTAACAGCAACTCCTTCTGCCCCTAAATTTAGGGAGTCGGAAGAAAAAGAAAATGTTGGCTACATAACTTTTAGTTATTGTTTGGTTACTTTTTTGGTACCGGGGGTTGAACCCAGGGGCTCTCAACCACTGAGCCACATCATCCCCAGCCCTTCCCCTTTTTCTTTGAATTTTGCTTAGAGACAGGGTCTCACTGAGCTGCTTGGGACCTTGCTAAGTTGCTTTGAACTTGAGATTCTCTTGCCTGAGACCTCCCGAGCCCCTGGGATTACCAGTGTGCCCCACCAGGCTCGGCCTTGTTCTGTTACATTTTAAAGTCCTTCACACTTACAATTATTTCCTCCAGAGAAAGGATGTGCACATTTCTGTATGTGGCTGAGGGGACAGGACAGAAACACCTCAATCAGAGTCATCAAGGCTCCTAGACAAATGCTTTTTAGGAAAATCTCCATCCTGGTTTCCTCTCTGCATGAGGTGTGTTAGTGTGCAGGCCCTGAAGTTTAGCTGGAATGGAAAGAAAATATTTTTTAATTAAAACAAACAAAAAATTGAAGTGTAGTTCCTCACACTAGTTGTATTCCAACTGCTCAAGAGCTATTTGTGGCTAGTTGCTTCTGTATTTGGACAATACAGGCGTAAACATTTCTATCACTGCAGAAAGTTCTGCAAGGTGCTGACAGAGTCCGCCTAGGGAGGATGGGCAGCAAAACTCACTGATTACATGTACACTTCCTGGCTATCCTGGAGGACCCGGAGTGAGGCACCCTGAGGCTCCTCAAACGCTGGCAGTGGCAACATCTTCACCATCTTATTTTGTGTGGGGCATCCCCCATCCGCCTTCTCTTTGTTTTTTCCTTCTTTCTTGGGCAGAAGGGCGGGGGAGGGGAGCACTCTATAGCGACTTGCTAGGTATTTGCAGCAGGCCGCGCTCTGTGCCTGTGTTCTCTGACCAGTGCTGCCATGGGGTTGTGGTGACTTAACTGGGGTCCCAGACACACTTTGGGCCCCAAAG